CTTTACAAATGAACACCACTTTTACGAATTTTGAGGCCTAAATGTGATTGCCAAAAAGTTAATGTTAGTCTAAAAACTAACTACTCCACAGTCGCTTGACTTCAACGTCACCACCACTAATTCCACCCTCTGTAATTAAATCCTGTAAGTGGTAGAAATGCTTCGTGTTGTAGAGTTGGATTCAGGGAGAGAACGTTTCGCAGCAAGCACGAGCGGAGCACAAGGCGAAGGCAGACTAGTGAGTAGATAGGCCTACATGTTCAGTGTGCTAATGTTTAATATCACGACAACCCTGTTATCTCATTTAGCAATTTTTAGGACATGTACAAGCTTCAAAATTCTTTTTTGTTATGTTTTGCGCAAAAATAGATAATTGATTAGTATTAGTAATGTGTGTCTTTTTGGGCGGTTTTGACAGCACTACTAGTCAGCTGGTAGCTGCTAATCAGCTAATGTATCAATAGGCCACTGATTCTGAAGCAGTAATGAAACACTTTTAGCCCAGCTGATGCAAGTGTGGCTGCAGTGCTATGTAATGCTGCATAGTTTTCTGAGGCTAGACAGTCTCATTTTAGGGGAAGGCTAAGACTCAGTCCTCCGAAGGCTACAGTTTTGTCCTTCGACGTGTCCTTCTAGGACCTGTGAACCCAGAGTTGGGACACAGCTACCGAGTTCCATGAATATAAATCTTGAACCGAATATATAACGGCTGGTTCAACAAGTGTCTTCACTGCTGCGCTCCCCTCATTGCCTACAGAACATTTGCTATCTGCTAACAGCAGTCGTTTAAATTAAACAGAAGTGATAGAACACATGCACAGACACAAACTCAGATACATGCAAAGTGTAATTTCAATATTCGTGGGGTGTTCAATGTCTCAAGTGTGCTGCTTGTTTTTTTCCTTCTGGGCCTGAATACTTCAAATGGTTTCAATGGTGTGGATGCACACACACAACACACAACAGCACACACAGCCACACACGACACACACATGCATGCACATACACACTCCTTGGGGCAAGTTTATTCTCGTTCTCTGTAGGAAATGATTGATTGATACTGTTTTCTCCTATAAACAAACAGATATCTATCTGTGTGTGTGTGTGTGTGTATGTGTGTGTGAGAGAGACTGCACCAGGCTTTCTGAAGAGGAAAACAGACATTAGCTGATTATATTTTATTGTGAAATGTGTTTACTCTCTGTTCCTCTGCACAGAATGAATATGCAGAGACACACTCATATCATCATTTGTCCTCCCACTTACTCTGCATGTGCATGTATTTCTGTGTGTGTGCATACACGTACGGGTTTACAGCCTTATTAGCCGAATGGAAGGTAAAGGCCTGTGAAGGTGTGATCTGAAATGTATCATTTCAACCAGCATTTCCTCTCTGCAGCAGCACCAGAATGCGCCTTTGATTGTTCTATGTAATTAACATTAATGCTGTGCCTTAATTGCTCCACGAGTGACACTTAATAATATTATATAATAAGTGATTATTCTAAAGAGCAGATAAATAATATACAGATACATGTAAATGCTGTTTAGGTGTCAGCTCCTCCTGAGGTGACAAAACATTAAACTTTTAAAAGCCTAGATAATCAAGTGATGTTCATTCTGGCAGTGCAATGTATTGTGGCACTGTGTGTTCTGAGATATAAATAACAGATTTCATTTTCAAAGGAAGCTCCACAATGAAATTAAACCACTGGCCCCATCTTGTGATTTCAATGTGTAATATTATTCCATACGGATGTTGTTGCAAGAAGTGTGTCACTATGAGCAAGTCAGCTCGAGATCTAGTAGTAGCAGTCCTAAGTAATGAAGACATAGTTAACACTCTGCGCGAATGCTAAAATAATACTGATCACCCTTCCTAAGTCCTGCCCCTTTTTGGACCCTGGTAAACGTTCTTCTTTCCTGTCCTTAGATAGTCACATCTTAAGCTAGTTAGCTTAGATAAGATGCAGTGCAGTCAATACAGAGGCAGCCTCAAAGGCAGTTAATAAAATAATAACATAATAATAAAGTAACAAGGGTCATTTTCTCAGTTTTACCACTTTAGACTTACAATAAACAAACCAATTAACTAGTAAACAAACAGAAAATGTACTCGGACCTGTGTTTCTTTCTGTATTAATTGATAAGGTTTACCTCATAAGCAGGACAGTATTGAATATGGTTACCAGTATCTTTTTGGCCTGCGCATGCATTCACCAGGCTGTTAATGGTCTCTTCCTTGCTACTAGATTTTGAGCTGACTCATTCATAGTGACACATAACTAGCAGCAACATCCATTCCCAAAAATATTACACATCGAAAACACAACATGGCACCGGTACCTTGATGATGTCAGATGTCATTACATTTATTCAGGTTTCCTTCCCTATATTCAAATGTCATATTATATATAATAATTTCTAACTTCTGTAACATTTAAATGATTCCAGTCTTCAGAGGCAGCATGAATGGATTTTAACTTCATTGTTCATTTCTTGTCTCCAGGTAAACATGCCGGAGCTGGCCTTGCTACGCTTTGTGGTATTGGACGACGACTACATTGGAGATGATTTCATTGGCCAGTACAGCGTGGCCTTTGAGTGCCTTCAGCCCGGCTACCGCAATGTGCCACTGCTGGGCTTGGCAGGAGACCCGTTACCCCACACCAGCCTCTTTGTCCATGTGGCGGTCACCAACCGGCGGGGAGGCGGGAAGGCCCAGCGACGAGGTCTGTCGGTGAGGAGGGTGGGGAGGCGAGGGCGGGAGTACGTCACACTGAGGCACACTGGCATCAAGGTGGTGGATGAGACTTTCAAACCGGCAACTGCCCCCCTCAAAGAGGCAACGGACCTGCGGGAGGATGCTCAGGTGAGAGGGAAGATGGGTTGGAAAATGCTTTTATGTGCTAAGGCAAGGTCATCCCCACCCTGGTCATCATATTTCCCATGTTTACGTTTAGCTCCTGTATATGCAACCAATGTGAATTTTAGAGGTACAACTGCAGACAAAGTCAATGGAAAGACATGAAGATACTAATTTGTCTGGGGCGGTGTGAAGTGCCACGAAGACATGTCAGTGCAACTTAATTTACTTAGACCAAATAAAATCACTGTTATGAATTTGTTTTATAGACGCACATAAACGAGAGATAAAAGGAGAGAGACTGGATAGAAATAACAGAAAAAACGGAGTTTCTGGTTCAGTCGGATTTTGAGATGCCACAGACACACAGGCATCCTTCCAAACACAGGTCTGTATCTAGCAACAAGTCAGTTGCTAGCTAGCTCATACATAATGTCTGTCCAGTCTGCTTGCACCGACTGTAAAATGGTGTAATTTGTATAAGTGACCCAAGGTGATAATTTGGTTTGCTTTCTGTATGAATAGAAAAAAAAAAGTTGAGCCATCAGAAGACCAGCATACACTTTTACCTCACAAGTCTTCAATTTGCCCTGCTGGGGAGGTGCGCCTAATGTACTGACTACACTGGATAATCCACTGGTCACCTTCTTAACAGTTTTTACTTGAATACTTTTTGGAAGGGAAGGAAAATGAAAACTGTTCAGTGAGGATTTTGGATTAACCAAAGTAACCAGGACTCGACTTGTTCATTGTCAGTGCTTTGAGCAACACGAATACACAGCTTCCTTGTATTGTGGTAGAGGCAGAAATCTCACAGATCTCTCAAAACCTGCACCGGCATGTACAACCAATCTACATTTGATTACTCCTAGTGGTGAGTGGTAGTGATGGGCAAAAATGAGAGAACAAATCTTCTTGAAAAACTATTTTTAGTGTTTAAGTTCCAGCACCCAGTCTAGAGTTCGGCACTGTATTGCACCACGACTGTATTTAGCGTCTAATATCTACCAGGTCAGCCTGTCCAACGTACCGAGTGCTCACTACTCAAGGAAGACCAGACTTCCCAAATGTCAACGTAGGTCACTGCTCACGCTGCCTGCAACGGTGGTGCAGTCGCTCAATATATAGAAAGCTGGACCAATGAATGAACGGAATCATTTACTCAAACGAGGACATTACTGAGTGACTCAAGTCAAATCCAGCACTCAGTCCAGAGCCTGGCAGCTATACTCCCTCACTCACACACTGAGAGTCGAGACTGCACTCAACTTTGACAGGCTGACCTGGACACTAAAAAGAATCGTTCAAAAAGATTTGTATGTTTTTTTTACCCATCACTTTTGTGGGGCAGGCAGCACTAACTGTTGAACATGCATATACTATAACTGTAACTATAGCTATAGCTGTCATGGAGAAACTCACCCCATATTTTGCAAAAAGGATCAAAACTGGAACGGTTCAAGACAGTTACATGTATCAACTCGAAAGAACTGATTCTGTGAAAAGAATTACTGCCCATGTCTATTAAGTGACAACATGTCTTTTTGTTTTGCTGAACAGGTAAAAAGGAAAACTTTCTCTGGCGCTTTGCGTTTTATTGGCTTATGTGGCAAACAGCAACCCCAAGTTAAAAGACATGCTAAAAGCTGAGTCACAGCAGATCATGTGTCACTCAGCTTTTGTATTTTTAGGCTTTGTTGATAAGATGTCAGGATGAGGGTGAATTGGAGTAGCTTAAATGGCGGTGCTGAAATCAGACTCTCGTCTCTGTAGGACGAATAAGAGGAAGAAAGTGAGAGGAGGAGGAGGAGAGCCAGTGACAAAAGAAGAGTCAGTAAGAAGAGTGGAGGAGGATTATAAAGCATCTATAAATACCAGCAAAAATAGAACCTGGTCGCACAGCACCCACCAGCTTATTGCTGGATACAAACAATCTAAGGGCTGGGTGATAAATACAATCCTCATTCAGTTTCTGTTTCAACATGACTCGCCTGTGCTCAAAGCCAGGTGTATTTTTGAATTAGCCAGGCTAGCTGTCAGCTTCAACCTGCTGACAGTGTTTGTGCTAGGCTAAGCTAGTTGTCTGCTGGGTCTAGTTCCAGACATAACGCACAGAGACAAAAGTGGTGGAACTTTAGCCAATCAGAAAACAAACCATATAACAGTCCCTAACCACTGTGGTTTGGACTCAAGCACAAAATGCATTCTTGCGTGATCCTGCGTTTTTGTGATTGCTATTATCTTTGACCATGCAGTTTAAATTTGTGGATTAACTAACCAAAAGGTTATCTCTGGTTTTGGCTAATTCAGTCACACGAAAAATGAAGCTATTCCATGATACAATACGCCATAAAGAACTCCCGCTCATCTATTTGCTAAATTTTCCACATTGGTTGAATAGCCTCCTCAGTATAACCGGTGTAGCAGATTCTCTATTGGGAAATAAATCCCTATCACCTCATGTATCACCCAACCTCTGAAACAATCCCACCCAATCACTTAGTCATACACCCTCTCACACAAACCCACACACACTCACATATCCCACAGTCCCACACATAAAACCCATTCACAAACGACTTTTAATCTGTCTGCTTCAATCTCATTGTCCTTTCCCTCTGACTTGAACTCTGTCCTCCTCTCTGTCCCTGTGTCTCTGCCATGAGTCCAGCTGTGGGCTCATCTGTCATAGTCAGTTATTATTCATCATGCCTCTATTGCTGTATGTCTGTCTCTCACACACACACACACACACACACACACTTCCGCACAGGTGGGGCGTGATAATCGCTAGTCCAGTTGGGGCTCTGCCAGGTGGCAAATTGCGTTCAGTTCGACAGAAGAGGTTCCCATTCTGGTGCTTGTGTGTGCAAAAATAAATCTTTTGCCTTCATTATGTAGTGACCCACAATGGCATTTCAGCAGATTTACACGACTGTTATTTTTTTGTCCTGGTCAGATCCGGTTTTGCATCCTGACACACCTGCACTCTACAAAAACTCTAAATGCTATGATTTTTCTGCTCCACATTTCTACCATATTGTCTTCTCTTTTGCCAAATGCGCTTAAGCTAAGGCTGATTTCACTGGATTAAAAGCACCAATGACTGCCATATTGATTTAATTCACAAGAGAGACAGCAGATGACAGGGGAAAGTGTGTGTGTTTGTGTGTGTGTGTGTGTGTATGTGGAGTGTCACCCTTTCTGACCTGTCCCAGCTTAGTTTTACAGCTGGAACTGTACATCTGATCTAATACTATTTTCCCTCTTCCCCCTCATCTCTGTCTCTCTGTCTGTCTGTCTTTTGCCTTTCAGAGCACCACCGCCAGCTTCAAAGAGCAGTGTGGGCTCCCCACTATGGCCAAACTGAAGCAGTGCATCCAGAGCCTGGCCACCAGGCTGCAGAGCCCTGAGGGCACTATGGGGGCCACCATGGTGCTGAAGGAGGGCTACCCATGTCTGGAGCCTCTGGTCAACCTCTCCGAACCGACACGCAAACTGCTCACTGCCTACGACACGGTCAGTAAGACGAGTGAGAGCGGTGTGCACAGAGATGTGCTGGGGGGTATACCTACTACAGCCTCTGCTCTCTGTCTCTCTTATTTTCATAGTAGAGTTTGAGGTGATATGTTCCTTTATTACAAAGAACATGAACTCAGTGGTATATTTTGATTCAGTCCAAAATGAAAATGGAATATAATATTCATAGGTATGTTTTTTATATGTATACATTGTTGTGTTTTTACTACCTTAAAATGAGCCTTTTATATCTACAGATATTGCGGGTCAGATATAATGTTTTTTGCAAGTTGCACAGCCACCGTAGTTTCTCTTACGCACTTCTCAGCCCATTCTCATTGCCAGGTTGTCACATACAAATGCCAGCGGTGTTCCCTTTGTTGCAGTCTGAAACTAGATGCCCTCTGCATCCTTCTGGTTGTGACATATGAGTCTGGAACAAACCGGCCAAATGACATACTTGCCATTTTATAGCCATGCTGCTAGTGTGACTAAAAATATAGCCCTGTCAGATTTATTCTTTAGGTTAAAAGGTTTAAATTCCTTATTGCATCACACAGTGGAGCTGTTTGAGTTTACAGCTATGCTGGCAAAGAGGCTGTTCATAGTGGGACTTTGCATGTTAACCTGCTGACAATTGCAGTGCTGATTGATTGAAATTCTGTATTGATCATTAATATAAAAGTGTCCCCTCTAGCCAGAGCTGCCCCAGATACATAAATCAAAGGATAAAAACACAATAACGCCCAAAGGCTTGTTTCCATTGTGGACCTTTTTTGGGAGGTAAGTGCTAAGAGCAGGCAGCTAACAGGCTGCTAGTGGCTTCTAAACATATATCATGTCATATGAAAAGACTGATCAATCTCAATACAATGCACAACAATATTAATCCATAATACAGGTCTGATACTGTACTGATCCAAACTTACCTGGACCATCATCCTGATAAATATTTAATCACAAATATTCCAATCATAATATTCACTATACAATATATCACAAATTAAAAGTACATACAATACAGATAAAGTGCTACACCTAGAACAACAACCTAATAACTATTTCATGCTGTTAATCTTGAAGGGCAAATGGATAATCAGCCATTTTTTTCAATGAGGACTTGAAGCTAACCGTATGCTAACATGCTAACATGCACAGGGGTCTCAAACTCTAATTTTCTTGGGGCCACTGCTTGTATTGTCATCTCATAGGAGGGCCACTTTAATGTTCAAGTGCAATATTCTGAAAATATTTTTGTTTTCCATTTCCATCTAACATACTGCATCTACAGCAGGTTTTTGCAGTCAAAGAACAAATAAAGCCCTGAAAGCTGTTCTCTTCTTATCAGCTTTTGCACACATTACTCTCTGTGCTTCATGTTCTCTTTGAAAATAAAACACACAATGTGCAAATTCATTAGCTTATTTACCTCAGACTTTTTCTAACTTTCTCAAGTTTGGTCAAAATGTATTCCCTCAGTAAGTTCTAAACTGGTTTTGTGATACATGAAACTGTATTAGAGTGTGCACACACACCCACACACAGTTACACTGTCCTGAGGCATTAGATATGCAGAAAGACACTCTGAGGTGACATGCATGAAACAGTCACCCACACACACACACCCTGACTACCAGCTGTGTCTCCTCCCACTCCATCTCCTCTTGCATCAGATCAGGACCGATCTCTCCCACCTGTTTTAGCACTCAGCCATTACACCTACACACACCTCGGTACAGAGAGTGCCGTCTTTCCAACCACCTCTTTGTGGTGACGCGTGTTAGTGGAGCTGATGATGTTTGAGTGTGAGGTCGGCAGGTCAGTGTCATGAAGCCACAGTCAGTGTGAATTCCAGTCGTACATCACACCTCTTCAGCCTTTCTGGGCGCACACGAGGCTTAGTCATCACTCACTCACCCTCCTCTCTCTCTGTCTCCCTGTAGCCAGTCCTCTGTCCTTTCCTTCCTTCCTTCCTTCCTTTCTTTCTTTCTTTCTTTCTTTCTTTCTTTCTTTCTTTCTTTCTTTCTTCCGGCTCTCCTCACCTCAATTACGTAGTCATATACTAGCACAGCACCACACACACACCGCTGGCGCTCTGCCAGTACAACCACAGTCTGAGCTCTGGGCTGCCAGCTGAGAGCTACCCGCTTGGACGCTGCTGGCGGTTGAGGCTCGTGGCTTAATGGCAACTGCAGTGGTGGTTAAGATTAAGGAGGGGAAGCACTGCGGCTTACACTATTCCGTCACCGATTTACCCCTGAGGTCGTCAGGATTGACACCAAGCACCTTCTGTTCTGCAGCAAGGCTACCTGGTGCCGCTAACAGATAGCCCTACTCGCCCACGTCCGATTTATTTAAAGTGCAGTTTTATTGTTTGCATTTTAGATCCAAATAACCCAAGTAGACTAGCATTTATGTTTTTAAGTCGAATGGACTGTTGATGGTTACACTAGATTCAAAGAGTACAGCCTCTTTTCAGCAAGCCAGTTTAAAAATTACTTTATTAACTATAAACCGGGAGAAGCAAAACAGCATTAAAACACACTAGGTCGAACAATAAAAAGGAGAGAAGCAGGTTGATTAACTAATCAAGGTTCCATTCAGGTGTTCCATTTGAGGTCAAACAGAGTCACGGAGCTGCTATATGTTGCAGGGTTGCCTGCTACATGGAAGATGAACAGAACCTGTTAATTAGTGTCATTGGGATCCACACCTGTGTGTTACCCTACTATTTCATGTCAAAATGGCTGCCGTCCGCCCCACAACGGTCTCAATTTGCATGTGAATCTCTGTGATTCCGTAACTGACTGGATTTCGCAAGAGTAATCTGATCCCAACACTGGATACCACCTTACCTCTGAACTGTTTAGTAAAAGTCGAAATGTTGCGTGTGTTGAGGGAGTTGCAGAATGTACTTTAAACACAATTACAAACAGGATACTTGCTGGATGGTTTTTGAAGTATGCGATCTCAGATGTATTCTCTTTCATAAAAGTTACAAAAGACGGCAGGACCTGGTTTTTGTCCCAATTAGGAAGTTCATGACTGACAGAGTGCGAGAACTCACCAGAACCGTACGTAATCTCACAGCTGTTGACGCTGTTTACTGCACTATTTACATTCTCCGGGAGTCAGCCTATTAAGTTCGTTGTTGATGTTCAAGTCGAACTCGCTCCTTTCAAGTGGTTTATTAGGAGTTATCCTGTACGGCGGCTTTACATTGCATGAGCATCATTTAAAACCATAAAATCAATTCTTTGGTTGCACTGTACCTTCTCTGCTGCACCTGGGCGATCCTCTCCTGGACAGCGTCTTGCGTTCTCAATCAGGCTGTTCTGGGGCAGCATCATATGAACAAGGCAGGGGAAATCATGTTAAAAACGACTGAGGTATAAGGAAGTGTTGAAGTTTTCCAAAAGAGATGCCAAATATGTGGTAGAGATACAATTTTGTTTGAGGTTGACTTATTAAGTAATTTTCAAGCTGGTTCCGGCTGATTCTGGTTTCCCAAAAGTAAGATGTACTGCTTTTAAAGCCTAGTTTGATAAATTGGACTTATTTCGGATTTTTGAATGTGAATGAAAGATGTGCTTTTGAATGCTCTGAAGGAAGATTTCTTCAATTACTGTGTCGGTGTACCTTGTTTAGCAGGGATTAGTGTGGGTTACTTGAAGTCAAGAGTAGTACATTCTGGGCAGATTTAATCAAAATTAAATTTAATATAAATTCCTTTTCTTTGCCCTACATTATGTGCATTGGGGCGGCAATGGACAATTTAAACAAACAAGTGTTTAACATTTATGGAGCGGATCTGATTGTGAGAAAGATTGGAGATACATTCATATTGGCATGTAATGTTTGTCATTAAGTGTATATCACGCTGGACATCAGCAATAGGAACATCACGTGATTTTTTGTTACCTTAGAAATGGAACCAGCTCACCAGTTGCGCACTCATGCCCGAGATTTATAGTGTCCGCATCTGAGAGGAGAGATATACTTTATTTTCCAGTTAACAATGCACACACAGTTGACAATGTATGGTGGACAATGTATCCTCGTGCAGTTGTAACCCGTACGTAGGGCGGGTTGGGCAGCGGCCCGCGGGGGTGTACCAGGTGCCTGGGGACAACTCCAAATCTGAGCCGTCAAGGGCACTGCTGGAGAACGCTTCCGAACTGAACAGACTTGTATTTTGTTTTGTCTATTAAGTTTGTAAGTTTGTTACAATATGTGTTATGTATGTAGCGCAGCACAGAAGATGTAGTAAGCTGGCATAGGCAGAGTGCATGTGGTAGCTGAGTCGAAAGTAATAAAGGGCTTCCAAAGGACAGCTGATTGTGCTGTGAGAGGAAGGAAGGAAGGAAGAATGGAAGGAAGAGAGGAAGAGAGAAGGAAGAAAGGAAGGAAGTGAAGAAAGA